CCGACTATTGTCCTCATCTTTGTCGCCATATTTATTACAACGTTTCGGCCTTTCAGTATCTGTCTATATTTCTGAGATGAGGTATTATGTACACTATTTACATTATTCCTCACTATTGTCCTCATCTTTGTTGCCATATTTATTACAATTTTTCCCTTTCAGTATCTGTCTATATTTCTGAGATGAGGTATTATGTACACTATTTACATTATTCCGACTATTGTCCTCATCTTTGTTGCCATATTTATCCAACGTTTCGGAGAGGAGTATCTGTCTATATTTCTGAGATGAGGTATTATGTACACTATTTACATTATTCCGACTATTGTCCTCATCTTTGTCGCCATATTTATTACAACGATTTCCGATTCAGTATCTGTCTATATTTCTGAGATGAGGTATTATGTACAATCTATTTACATTATTCCGACTATTGTCCTCATCTTTGTCGCCATATTTATTACAACTTTCCTTCCTTTCAGTATCTGTCTATATTTCTGAGATGAGGTATTATGTAAACTATTTACATTATTCGACTATTGTCCCTCATCTTTCGCCATATTTATTTAACCGATTCGGCTTTTCAGTATCTGTCTATATTTCTGAGATGAGGTATTATGTACACTATTTACATTATTCCGACTATTGTCCTCATCTTTGTTGCCATATTTATTACAACGTTTCCTTTCAGTATCTGTCTATATTTCTGAGATGAGGTATTATGTACACTATTTACATTATTCCGACTATTGTCCTCATCTTTGTTGCCATATTTATCCGATCCTTCAGTATCTGTCTATATTTCTGAGATGAGGTATTATGTACACTATTTTACATTATTCCGACTATTGTCCTCATCTTTGTTGCCATATTTATTATTCGTTTATCCTTTCAGTATCTGTCTATATTTCTGAGATGAGGTATTATGTACACTATTTACATTATTCCGACTATTGTCCTCATCTTTGTTGCCATTTTTTATCCGTTTCCTTCAGTATCTGTCTATATTTCTGAGATGAGGTATTATGTACACTATTTACATTATTCCGACTTTTTGTCCTCATCTTTGTCGCCATATTTATTATCCGATCCTTTCAGTATCTGTCTATATTTCTGAGATGAGGTATTATGTACAAAATTTACATTATTCCGACTATTGTCCTCATCTTTGTTGCCATATTTATTACAACGTTTTTCCTTTTAGTATCTGTCTATATTTCTGAGATGAGGTATTATGTACACTATTTACATTATTCCGACTATTGTCCTCATCTTTGTCGTTGTATTTATTTAACGTTTTTCCTTTCAGTATCTGTCTATATTTCTGAGATGAGGTATTATGTACACTATTTACATTATTCCGACTATTGTCCTCATCTTTGTTGCCATATTTATTACAACGATCCCTTTCAGTATCTGTCTATATTTCTGAGATGAGGTATTATGTACACTATTTACATTATTCCGACTATTGTCCTCATCTTTGTTGCCATTAACATATCCGATCCTTTGAGTATCTGTCTATATTTCTGAGATGAGGTATTATGTACAAATATTTACATTATTCCGACTATTGTCCTCATCTTTGTTGCCATATTTATCCGATCCTTTCAGTATCTGTCTGTCTATTTCTGAGATGAGGTATTATGTACAAAATATTTTACATTATTCCGACTATTGTCCTCATCTTTGTTGCCATATTTATTTCAATCCTTCAAAAGATCTGTCTATATTTCTGAGATGAAATTATGTACACTATTTACATTATTCCGACTATTGTCCTCATATTTTTGTTGCCATATTTATTATAACGATCCTTTTCAGTATCTGTCTATATTTCTGAGATGAGGTATTATGTACACTATTTACATTATTCCGACTATTGTCCTCATCTTTGTTGTATATTTATTACAAGGTTTCGGTCGTTGTACGTTCCGGCCTTCTTCAGGTGATTGGAATGATTTTGATGAACCTTTATTTTTTTCAATGGGACGTAATGTCCTAAACTTGTTTTATATTTAATGCCATGTCTTATGGATGACTTATTTATGGAATTAAAATCCTGATAATTTCCCTATTTCTTCTTATTTATAATTATTTTTTAAAATTCATACCCGGATATCCTCAATTGATAAAATGGATAAAGGTGTTGGTTAGATGTTTATTTCCCAAATATTCCATTTATAATTAAATACCTGGTTAAGCCGGTATAAACTGTTGTAAATTTCCGGATACACTTTTATTTGGAATTAGAATTAGAAATATAGAATTAACGTTGATATAAATATGGCGACAAAGATGAGGACAATAGTCGGAATAATATAAATATGAACTCTTAATCAAACCAAAATATTTATAAGTTGAACAGATTTGCATCCATATATTTCAGAATGATGAAAAGAATAAAATTAACACTGTAATACATTATCCGGACTATTGTCCTCATCATTGTCGCCATACTCATTACAACGTTTCGGCTGTTGTACGCTCCGGTCTTCTTCAGGTGGTCGAACTGAACCCTTTATTTCGCTCGCTGGGGTAGACTGTTCTAGTTCTACGTGCCATGTTTAATGGATGTCAGTTATCAGTTATCTCCTGTTAATTCCTTAATGAATCGTGTTCTCCACCGTTTTAACCGGGTATTGAACTCACTATCTTTGGGTCCTTGAACTGATACTCTAAGCCATGGGACAGTGGATAAAACGTTGGCTAATATCCAGTGACAGGAAAGAAAAACCCATTGAGGTTGATATGCCGAAAAAAAAAATAAAAATAAACCAATCTAAACCAAAGAATACACATTCTATTCATCCGAACCTATCCTTAAAATGTTGTCGTCATTAAATAACACATTGAGGTTGATATGCCGTTGAACAAAATAAACCAAACCAATATCTAATTCTGTTTATATTTATTTATCCATATAATGGAATATATATATATATATATATATATATATATATATATATATATATATATATATTATTTTTTTTTAAAAATTTTGAATATTAATGCATGTAAATTGGATGTTGCCTTCAGCATCTACATATACCTAGTATTCTCACCTATCCATCTGTCTATCTAGTATTTTGTTTTATCTATCTAGTATTATTCATTATCTATCGTTCTATCTATCTAGTAAAATTAGCTTCATCCAGATATCCCAGAAAGAGAGAGAATTGATTGCATTAAAAAGAGTTGTCACTTTTTTTATTGATGTTACATTTTTATTGGGAATTTTTTTAAATGACTCCAGAATTTAGTAGTTAGGACCATTCAGGAATTAAATAAATGTACGATCAGAAATGTATCAGTATATTAACTGCTTATAAGTCTATATTTTTTTCCTCTTTAAAAGTATGATATTTATATATATATATATATATATATATATATATATCTAAGTGCGTAGGTATGCAGAAAATAGAAAAAAAACATTATGGTTGCATAATCCGGGGTTCCTTAGTATTTTTTGTTTTTATTTTAAGAAGACAGTGCTCCATACATAATATAGAGTTTATATTAAAATAATATTTTTTTTTAAAAATATGATTCCTTCGCTACATAAGAGTTCTCATGTTTCAAAAACGAGAGCCGAAATATCCAAATAATTATTAAAATTAAGTTGGATTGTGGTGTTTAGTCCCGTTTCATCTTCAAGCGAAATTTTAGGAATAAGCTATCTCTCCGGTTTACGTGTGTTTTTTAGGTATGGTCCGTTACAAAATTCGTTATTGTTAAGAGGCATAGACTATTTTCCTTCATTAAATGATCAGAGAGTTAATTCTTAGATTCATCATCTTCTGAGAGGATTTGCTAAGGTTGAGTAGGGTATCTATTTCAAACTAATTTTGCGGTCACCCTTTAGTTAGTTCCCAATATGTGTGTGTGTGTGTGTGTGTGTGTGTGTGTGTGTGTTATGCAAATATATAGAAAAATAGGAAAGAAATGGGTTAGGTAAATAATCCGAATTCTTTAGTATTTTTTTTTTTTATTTTTAAAACAATGCTCCATACAGAAGTAGAGCATATATTTAATTATTTTTTAAACAATATGATTCCTTCGCTTTTTATAAGAGTTCTCATGTTTCAAAAAAAGAAGGTTCACCTTCAATATAATTATTAAAATTAAATTGAATTAAAGTATCAAGCTCTGTTTCATCCTCAAGCAAAATTTTTAAAAGAAATAAAATTGATACTTTAATTCAATTTGATTTTAATAATTATATTGAAGAAAATTGGCTCTTTTTTGAAACATGAGAAATTTTTTTAGGAACATTCAACATATTTTTTAAAAAATTATATTCATATATATATATATATATATATATATATATATATATACTAATTTAAAAAGCCGCCTTATTGTATGACAATTAATTCTAGCTTCTGATTGGTTCTTCATCACAATAGCTAGGGAGAAGTAGATGCTATAGGCAAGAGCAAAGTACAGAGGAACTCAAAATTGATCGCTGCATTTAAGTATTGCATGAATATTTAAAACCACATTTTAAAAGTTCAATGATAATTATTCTGCCGCAACTTAATTTAAATACAATTTAATGTGCGTAGATCTTTACTTATTATTTTTTATTTCATGCGTGACTTTCGATGCATTTCGCATTTAATTTCGATTATTTCTAAAAATGTATTTCTAAGTTATAAAAATTGTTATCGCACAAAAATATTTGCCTCAAAAATTAACGTAAAAAATCTCCGAAAACAATGGCAGTAATGAAAACTTGGGAATCCAAATGTTGAAGATTGTGGATCCGGATTAATCCCGGAATGTATTTAATTTGCTCACAGGGTCAGACTGATTCCAAAATGAAAGGATATATTGGGCTACGGCCTCTAAGAGTAAAGATGAAAACAAGGACAATTTTATTTTGAAACACAATGGCATCCCTCCTATCTAAAACAATCATACTTAGGGACACTGAATGTTTCACTTTATATATATATATATATATATATATATATATATATATATATATATATATGAATGCGTTCAATATTTATCTCTATCTATCTCAATCTGCTCACATCTATCTATCTATCTATCTATCTATCTATCTATCTATCTCAATAAGTTCATTTCTAACTACCGATCCATTTCAGTCTTCTGACATCTATCCATCTATCTATCTATCTATCTTTCTATTTTCCTATCTATCTATCTATCTATCTATCTATCTGAGTGTGCCCATTATCTATCTATCTATCTATCTATTTTTCTATCTATCTATCTATCTATGTAAATCTGTTCCTATTTGTATGTCTTCTCAAATCTGTCTTAATCTTTTCATATCTAAGGATATACATATAAATCTACCTATATATATACAGATATATATATATATATATATATATATATATATATATATATATATATATAATGTGTATATGTGTTAATCAAATGTGTTAAATATCTATCTATCCATCAATGATATATCTATTCAGTCTATTTTATCAATGTCATCATACCTCTCTCTCTGTATGTCTGTCTATTCTCCCTCTGTCTCTCTGTCTTTTTAAATTCATAATAAAATATATATTTATAATTAGTGCACACAACACAAATGACACACACACACATATTATATATATATATATATATATATATATATATATATATGTGTATGTGTGTGTGTGTGTGTGTGTGTGTGTTAAAAAAGGAATGTTCACTTATAAATATATATTTTATTACTGACCGGTAACACATTTGCATGATGCAATCGTCAAATGCTTATATATATTAAAAAAAACTTCACAAAATTATGGAAACGATATTTGAATGATTGCTTCATTTTGGGGAAATCCTCATGGGGCGATATTAGCCAATTCCACACTCTACTTCATAACTTAAACCCAAAAATCAAATTCACGCAAGGATATAATCTTAACGAATTACAATTTTTTTTAGATATACTCATTAGAAATAGAAACAACGACATCATCACAGATATCTACCACAAACCTACAGACACCCAACAAAATCATCATTTCAAGAGCCACCACCTAAAAAGATGACTGAAGTCCATCCCCTATTCTCTTGGACGTAGTGTCCCCACTATAGTAAACGACAAACGCCGCAGAAAAAAAATCCGGTTAGGACAACTATATAGAAGTCTAAAAAATTGAGGGTACACTACAACATTAATAAACACAAGTTTTGAACGAGCAGTAAAATCACCTCTAGGCCAACTGCAAAATCCCAAGAAAACGTAACATCGAACAAACCCTAACATACGTCTCAACATACAATATAGAACAATCCAGAACTAAGCGAAAATATAAAGAACAAAATATAAAATATACACTAAAAGAAATCCACATTATAACCAAAAATTGGTGTGCTTACTCTTCTTTTAAAATATTAATTTTTCTCTCGTTGGAACAATTATAATCCTTTTTTATAAATATATATATATATATATATATATATATATATATATATATATATATATATATATATATATATTTTGTCCTATGCCCTACTCGACGAATAATTTTTTAAATCGCAATCATACGCCGACCAGAAGATATATACATTATCAATTTTTGGAGAGATACGGGATATCTCTCCCAGACCATGACAAATGGACAATTAGTAAACAAAATATTTTAAAGAACACCGTTCGATTGAGATAATCAAACAGTAGTCTTTTCCCAGGTTCGCTTCGGTTTCAACACATATACCGATCCACAATTCAAGGATGAACGATAAGGCGTAGTAATTTTTGGTGTAAGAATTTTAATATGTACATATACACAAGATATTACAATAAAAGAAAAATATAAACATGAGTAAAGCATCCGACAACCAGAATCTCAAGTCTTATATTGGGATACCAAAATATGCCCAAATCCAAGTGGATTCGACTGAACCCGAACGGATAAAAAAATAAGTATGAATAACTACGAATGCAGAAATCAACACATAACCAAAAAAAGAGATGGGATAGGATTTATATATTACAATTTTGACATGTGGAAAGGTGTTTCCTGAGAACATAAAATTTATGGATGCATGTGTATCTTTCTAACACGGGTCCAAAATATATAGTTACTTATCTTTATATTCAGTTCTCTCTCTTACTCATTGTCCTTTCTTTTCTCTCTCACGTTTCCTCTTTTCTTTCGTTCTTTCTTTTCTTTACACAAATTCAATTTCAAACACGGTCCGGCTGCAACAGAGATATTTACTTTCTTCTTCTCTCTTGATTTCTCTTTTCTTTCTTCAAACTCAGGCTGTATTCTCAGCGTGCAAATTTCCTTGCGTCTTCTGTGATAAATAACTCGATTTATCTTCTTCAATCTGGAGTTGACGAACAGAAATATACATCCTTATATTTCTTATCCGGAGTTGCTTATGATGAATCGGACAAGTTCCATCATTACCAAAATGAGTCTCATCTGTCTGTTCATAAGTTATCAGCGCTTCGATTTCGAGTCTTGCTCCTTCAAAGACAAGACAGCAACTGACTTCTAAGTAATTTTCTAATTCCCACGTGTCCTGCATTTTTTTCGCGAATTCTAGTTCTTGCTGTATCCGACCTTACGTCAGTCCCCTGTCTAGATTCTGTCTAGACGTCTGTTGCTAAATATTTTTTTGGGTCACTGGGTCAAAAAACCTCTTGACCTGCTTCCCCAAAATGACTCGAGATCCCACGTGACCTCTTCTGTTGTGAAGCGGAGATTAACCTTAATATATGCGTGTATGCGTGTTTGGGCTATCTGCATTCGTAACAATATATATAATTAAACATTGAAGTCAACACTCAGAGGCTGACGATTGCGACTAGCATGAAACAGCCTGTCGCTTCTGAGTGTTGACTTCAATGTTCACTTTTATATTTATATTTACATACGCTCTATCTCTAATATTGAGCACTGTATCCCATAAATATAGCACACCTTAAAACTCTATTTTTTATATATATATATATATATATATATATATTTATTTATATATATATATATATATATATATGTATGTGTGTGTGTGTGTGTATGTATTTAGGCAGCAATCCTTCTTTCATGCACATTTCATTGAATACGACAGACAAGATGCTTTGATTTATTTTTTTATACAATTTCTCATTCGATCTAATATTTTTTTTTCTTTTCAAATGATAAATTATATAAAAACTGTCCGAATGTTCTTTTTATCCGAGCGCTTTCGGCTATACATTTAGCCATTTTCAAGGATTAAATATTTTAACTGTTAAATAATAGTTCGTTGCATCTATGTATTTATATAACGCTTTCACTTTTCAAAAACAGTCAAGATATTATGTCCGTCTTCTACTTCTTATTTAACAGTTAAAATATTAGATCGAATGAGAAATTGTATAAAAAAATGAATGAAAAAATTCAATAAAATGTGCATATATATATATACACAAGTATATAATTGGTATATACGGAATGAATTCTAGCTTTTGAAACAATGTTTTCCCCTAGTGAAAGATCGTTAATTAATTTGAAACTTTTAAAACCATTTATTTTACATTCAACATCATCACTTGATAAGACACCGAGGGTGTTGAAACAAAATGTCTATTTTTGTAGTGATTTTATAACATATTTATGTTATAAATTTTTTTTTATAAAAAAAATATATATATATATATATATATATATAATACACACACACACACACACACACATATATATATATATATATATATATATATATATATATATATATATATATATAAGGGAGGAGGTTATAAGTAGTTCCAACGAGAGAAAAGTATATTTTTTATAATACTTTTTTTAAAAAAAATCCACATTACAAACAAAAATGTTTTATGGTTTCTCTCTTTTATATATATATATATATATATATATATGTGTGTGTGTGTGTGTGTGTGTGTGTGTGTGTGTATATAACCTATGTATATATGTTTTTTATTTGTTTTACAATATTTTAAGAATTAAACCGACACATGTTGAGTTAAATCATGTTATCTTAAAGGTTATTTGACGGTCTTTCTTCCGAGGTATCCATTTTGATGTCAACTTCATTAATTTCCAAACATTTGAATTTAAGATTGTCAAAACAGGATTTTCACTACATTTACTTCTATGCGTTTAAAAACGGACCCAGGGCGGCAGAAAAGGCGAGAGAGATCTCTGATGTCTCGGTGGGGGGGTGCAAGGGATTATTAATGAATGCACAGTGTAACGACGGTTTCAACAACCCAGTCGTTATGAAGTCACTCTTGAAGAAACGGATGGCGGTTTTTGCCATTCATGACAACGAATCCGAGCCTTGGGTGGAAGCAAAACCTCGTACAACTATTTGAGGTCTTGCAGGAGACTTAGAGGTAACTGCTGGAACCATTTCCGGCCGTTTGAACAGGAATGTCGAAAAAGCTTGGAAAATGAGTACTGCACTATTTTCACTTCAGACAAAAGGGGATAAAGCCCCTAACACTCAAGAAAATTAATAAAAAGTTGAATCAAAGCAAAATTTAATCCGGAAACACCGTATACCTTTAACTTTTAAAGGAATCTAACATTCCGAACGACGCGAGATCTTAGAGACATCTGTGTTGTTTGTTTAACAATTTACTCATTTGTTTAACAATTTACTTGATTAGATAATTTATTCATTAATAATTAATTTATTCATTAATTATTTGTTATTGCTGATTATTATTATCATTATTATTATTATTATTATTATTATTATTATTATTATTATTACTATCTATAAAAGGCAGGATGGATGTGTGTGTGTGTGTGTGTGAATGCACGGCCGCAAATTTTTCGACGGTTTTGCACCCAAATTTACATGCACATGCTCCAAGTTAGTGGAAAGGCCAAGACCGACTTTGCATTTCACAACTCCCATCGATAGTAAAAATAATCGATTTTTTCATGCTTCTACGGCAGTTTTCATGTAGTTTCTGGCCATTTTCTACTGGCCAGAGTGAGAGCCAATAGCTGGCTGCCACGAATAGGCAGGAAGATTCTATTGGCCAGCGTGTGAGCCAACAGCTGACTGACACGAATGTTAACTAGCATGCTAGCATGCAAAACAAATCGATAGCTGCATTCGTCACAAGTGAGAAAATTTAAATCTGCATGGCATTTTACTCCAATTGGCTCATTCGCTTGCTTAAACTCAACGTTGATTCTGATTCCACAGAACTGGGTTGGGTGTGAAAAAAGTATTTGTTGTTAACATTCTTTTTTTCATTCGGTTTTTCCAGTGACGAGTCCTTTTTTTAAAGCTGATCGTTTTGTGTTCATATTGTTTAGTTCTTTTTTCGTAACAGATTTAAAGGAATCCAACATTCGGAACGACGCGAGATCTTAGAGACATCCGTGTTGTTTGTTTAACAATTTACTCATTTGTTCTTACAATTTACTTGATTACATAATTTATTCATTAATAATTAATTTATTCATTAATTATTTGTTATTGCTGATTATTATTATCATTATTCGGATTATTATTATCACTATTTATATAAGGCATAAAAGGTAGATGGAATGTGTGTGTGTGTGTGTGTGTGTGTGTGTGTGTGTGTGTGTAGAGCTTAGAAAAATTTATATGTATAGATAGGCAAGAAGTAAGGCATGTTTTTACATCAATTCAAGTAAAGGCACCCTTTAAAAGGCAAGGAAGGGCAAAAATATTTTAAGTCAAGTATAGCGATTGCAGTATGAGTCGTACGATTTTTGAATCAAGCACGGGCAACGCCGGGCCATGCTGCTAGTTATTATTATTTACTTGTGTTCATATGTGAAATTTATTTATTGTTTAATTAATGCTAATCAACAACTGACAAATTTTATATTTGTACTAATTCTCTCTCTCTTTCTCTTTCTCTATCACTGTCTCTCTCATTCTCTCTCACTTTATCTCTAACTCTCTCTCCTTCTTACATTTCTCTCTCTCTCTATATATATATATATATATATATATATATATATATATATAGATAGAGAAGAAAAACAGAGATGAGTTGAGATAATGTGAATAAATGATTTGAAAAGTGAAAAAAAAATTTATTTGTCAAACGTTTTTTATCCTTCAGGATTTCATCATAACATACTCATTATAACAAATTTAGATGGATGAAGTCCTCGAAACACGTTACAAGTAAAGTTTTTCTACTGTTCTTGATATATAAATATATATCGTATATACCGTTATCTCATATAAAGAAAAATCTGATAACGAGGCAAAACAAAAAAAAAAACGAACTACTAAACTCAATATAAAAAAAAAATATATTTTTTAGAACACACGTTTCACCACCAAATAGAAAAACCACATAACAGAGGCAAGAAGCTTAATCCATACTACCACACACAAACACACCCATACAACAAATACAATTACCAAAATACATTTAACAACGTACAAACCTTTACAACATACCATTATACCATAATACAGCCGGACATAGGACAGAACTCATACATGTTCAAAAAGCCAATACTTTCAGATACCACCTGACACAATAAAACAAACCTAACAACCACTGCCCATATCAAGAAATGCAATCAAAATTCTCTATAAATCTCTACTTAACTGCATACAGAAACAGCAAATCTAGAAACATTTGGAACACCCCTTATAGCAAAAATAAACACACTGATATTGAACCTTCTAAAAATGACAATCCCAATTTTATCAAGAGAAATCCCAAAACATGTAGGGAGAGGCCATCTCTTAGAAAACCCGGAATGTGTGGAAAGAAACAATGTTTCATTTTTTTATTGCCTATGAAAAGCTCAAAATGTTTAAATAAGTTATGATCAGTAGGAGAGACATCAGCTGAATTGAGAGGATGAGGTATGCAGTTTTTGGACAGTTGATTGAGAAGCGTTCGTCCGAGCATTGCCGGGCAGCAATATTTTAAACATCAATCAAATCAAAATGACAGTTTTAGTAACACAAAACCAAAAATGATAATGGTCCGCGGTTGAGCCAAACTTAGTCATCCGGACAACAATAAAAAAAAAAAAATTAAAAATTTTCTTCTCTTCTGATATAATTTTTTTTTTTTTAAAATGTGGTAATGGAGACTTCTGGGGTTATTGACCCTTATTCAATGGCGTTCCTTCAGGATTTTTGGCGTCTCGATTAATAACGTTTCGTTTAACAGATGGCTCTTGCAGCGTGTCTCACTGGCGATGGTTTTAGGTAATGCTTTTCCATTTACGGGTATATAGATGAAAGAAAAAATTGTTTATAGTTATTTGTTCAAACTTTTTTTTTTAAAAT